CTCTCTCTCTCTCTCTCTCTCTCTCTCTCTCTCTCTCTCTCTCTCTCTCTCTCTCTTTCTCTCTATCTCTATCTATCTCTCTAAATATAAACTAATATACATTATTTGTTATATAATGGTATAAACTCATTTTTTTGCCAGAAAATCTAATTTCGTCTAGAGTATTTAGACTTCGGCGTGCCAAATCCTGTGCATTTTGTATTTTTATTTGAATTTATGCATTTGATTTTTATTCTAACTGACTGCATCGATGCAGTGCCGTATACTGTATCGAACTAATAAATGATATTTGCAAAAACCTTGCTGTTTGCCAAATTTTCGGTAGCAATATAAGCACAGTAACACCCAAAAGTAACACAACACAAACAAATTGCCAATTGGCAATTCAACAGCAAATATATACATACGCATGTATGTACATGCAATCAATTGCTGCTGCAGGTGCAACTAGATGGTTTTATTTCCAGCACAGCTCTGTGAATGGCTTATAATTACACTATAAACAAATAGATGTCATATTTCCAAGAGGAGCAAATAGAATTTGTGAAAGTGCTGCAGTTGAAGATGATTTCGTTTATTTCTCTTCTTTTTTTTTTTGTAATTTACTCAAGTCCGATGTATAAGGCATGGTAGAAGAGCTTAAAAACAAACACGGAGCTGAAATTCATATATGATTCAAAATGGAAAATAAGAGAGCTGAAGAAAGAGTGAGAGCAAGTTATTTATGTATAAATATATACGTATATGTATATATGTATATTCTGCATATGGATGTGGTGTACGAATATTAAGGACCAAATTTAATGGGCACTTGCGGCAGGGCATATGTTTACACATACTTAAGTATGCACCAGAGATGCACACTTACATTTCTGTTCACTTACACACGCACACACTTGTGTGGTTATGCATGTGGGTTTCTTTCAGTATGTGTGTGTGTGTGTGTGCGTAATACATACTGTATCAGCACACATACACGCTTTTAAGAACGCAATGCAGAATTGCATGAGGCCACAAAGCGAGTGAGGGCCAAGAGAGCCCAAATTGGAGACGATGCAGCGGCAAAAGGTACTCAAAAGTGAAAGGCAGCCGAGCGTAAACTGTAAACTTGCTCAATGCATTCCTCAGGTTAGATTTAAGACGGCAAAGTTTTACGCAGTAATAGAACTTTGGATTTGCAGATATGAATCGAGATGTGCATCAGCTATGTGCGTATTAAATCTGCTCAGCAAACGAAATCATGCTCATCCAAGCAGCATTATGCTTTAATTTAATAATTACCTCTTAAGTTAGATGAGTATTAAAGTGTAATGAAAAAATGATGGAAACTAGACTTATAAGTATCGAGTTTTGATCTCGAATCTTGTCACTTATTTATGCAAATGAGATCTTCACTAATCGTGCTAATCGACACTTGAGGTAGAACATTTACTTGGGCTACTAAGAGGAGACCCAGAGGGACTAGATTCTCTGTACTGCAGCTCAAAGGACTTGAGTAAGACTGAGACGCCAAATCAAAACCTAATCAATCGAGTCTTGACTTTAAGTCCATCAAATAACCACTTGAACTTAATGCTAATAGACTTTGTCTGAGGTTATATTTCTGTTTGATTACTCCCTCTCTGTCTGCCACTCTGACCCCTACTGAAACACATTTAATATACTCGCTTCAGCTTAACTTTTAATTTTTGTAATTCAGTCATCGCCTCTTCGATATATATGTGTATATGTTTTTAAATCTCGCGCCAACTTTACTTCATTTCATTTAACTTGAAAATGCAAGATGCACTTAAGCTTGATTGTAAGTCTCCTGACAAGAGCTGAAATAGCACCTCGAACTATGCACAGTCAGGCGCAAGTCGACGCTTTCGAGAGCAACACAATGCTGAATGCATGACAAACGCTGGCAGTCGCCATAAAGCAACCTGAGATTTTTCCTCATTTCTTTGCTTCGTTTTCCTTAGTTATTTCTGGAAGCACTTATAAAATACCACTGCGTTTTTAATTTACTACAAAAATGGCAAAGAAGCTCGGGATGGTTTTTGCTGATGGGAGCGCAAGGGGCTGCCTTGGCAGTGGCAGTGTAGGGGTGTGTGTGTGTGCGTGTGTGTTTTCCTTTTTCTTCTTCAGCTTGTTTGTATTTTCTCGTTTTCTTAAAATGAAGAAAAACACGAAAGCTTCAAGCGCTGGAAACACATGAAAATATAAATAAATAAACCTAGGTCGAATGCACCCATTCATATGGGCTGCCGTTGCTGCTGCTGCTGCTGCTGCGGCAACTGCTTTCGGCATCTCTGGCGCTGCACTCTGGTCCGCACTCAACTCACTCGTTCAGTCAGTCAAGTCAGTTTGTCAAACCGTGTGGAGCGCCAGCGCACAAATTTGCATGACGTCAGAAGTCGAATGAGGGCTGCGGCCTGCGGACCATGGACTACGTCTGACTGCGATCTGTGTGTGTGTGTGTGTGTGTGGGTTGCGGACTGCGGCTGGCAATATATTCCAGCCTTTTCTTCCATTTTTTGCTAGGGAGCGGCAGAGTCAACGGTCTTGTTGGTTTGTGCTGCCAGCGTGTATATTTAATTAAAACAGGATTAATCTAGCAGAAACAATACTTCACTTAATGCAGCTCCAGCAACAGCAGCAGCAACAGCAGCACATGGCTGTTGCTGATGCCGTAGCTGAAACTGAATCTGGTGCTGAAACTGAAGCTGAAGCTGTAGCTGACGCTGGCGCTGGCGCTGTGGCCACTCCTCCAGTTTCTGCCTGTGGCTGCGGGCTGGCTAACAGACTCGTTAGCTTGCCTGGCAGCCAGCTGTGGAGTGGTGGCGGCACTGCCTGGATGCTGGCTGCCTGGCTGCCTGACTGCCTGACTGCTGGCTGGCCCAGACTGTAATACAAACAATAGCGTTAACTGCTTTTACACACACGCGCGCACACGCACACAGAGACACTCCTGTTGCTGTTCGCGTAAGGAAAGTTGTGCCCCAAATAGTATGCTACGTTTTTTGATACGTTATGCATATCCTTCGAGTCGGACAGCTTAGTGAACGCCTTTCAATCAATGAAGTTGGCCAATCAAGGAAATTGCGTGCTCACATGTCAAACAGAGAGGGAACAGGAAGAGGAGGAGGAGGTGGAGCAGCAGCAGCAACACCAAAGAAAAACAGAATAAAACGTTTTTGGGCCATTTACTATCGACTTTAATTAATATTTACCTTTGGTGCCTGTGGTGGCTGGCTGCTGCTTTGCCAACTATTAGCCAAGGCAAACAGTTTTAACAGCTTTGGCTGACTTGGCTTTTAGAGACCCGGGCCCATCAAAAACTTGACTATCACAAGTGGCAGTCAAACGGAGGGCAAATAAACAAAATATACGCCAGAGCAGCAGCAAATTTCGTTTCTCTTCTATTAAATATTTTTCAAAAAAAAAAAAAAAGGAAAAAGAAAAGAAAATGCAAGAAAAACCAAAACAAAAACAAAAGTAAGAAAACAAGAAAACAGCAAAAGCCAAGAAGCAGAACAAGCGGCAAACCTAGCAAAAATCTACACCAGGAAGTGCTATACACAGGCAATGCCAACAATAGCAACAACAACAATAACAGCAACAACAACAGCAACTGTAACATGAGTCGAAATTGTAGTTGTACAAACACGTCAGCTTTTAAATTACTTGGCCTAAAGGTAAATTGAGCGGAAGTTAAAATGTTGGAAAAAGGCAGCACGAAAAAAAATAATCCAAGCCAAAACACAAGCAGGAGCTACTGTGCTGCCGCAGCTGAGGCTCGTGCCGTAACGGAATGCAGTGGTGCTGCTTCGGCTACTCCTGCTGCTGTGGTGGTGTCCATAACAACAACAACAACAACAGGCAAGCAGGGCGGGCAAGGCGGCACACGGCAAATTTGCCGGGAGTAAACGCAAGAATAATAACAACCGAAAGCAAGTTTTTCGGCTCAAGTTGTTGTTGCCGCTGCCTCTGCCGCTGCCGCCGCTGCCACGGCTCCTGCTATGAAATTCAGTGGCACACAAAACGTAATTTCAACTAAACGAACCGACAAACAAAAAAACAAAAACCAAAGCAAAAAAATATGAAAACAAACAAAAACACAAACAAAGCAAAACAACTGCAATTGCAACGAAATATTATTTTTAGCTTGCTGCATCCTTCCTGCTGCCTCAGGCAGCGGCAGCAGCAGCGGCAGCGGCAGAGGGAGCAGCTCAAGCTCTACTAAGATTCACATGCGCACGGGATAAGTTGGCAGAATTTCGCAATAATAAAATATTTGCAATGTACTCGAAGCAACGGGCAGCGCTGCGATGGCAATGGCAACGATGGCAACTGCTGCCAGCGGATGGGGCAACTGCATTTTCATAAAGTGCAGCTCATAAAGGAGGCGGTAGGTGGTGGCGACGACGACGGCCCGCGGCCAGTAGAACGGTGTGCATGCTGTGGGCCAGAAATAAAAACTCAAAATAAATATGAGCCACAGCCAGCAGTGGCAGCAGCAGCAGCAACAGCCGAATCAAACAAACAACAATAGCAGAAGCAGAAAAAAAGAGTATACAAAAATAAAAGAAAAAATAATAATAAAAAAAATGGTAATAATAAAAACCCGCGAAAATATTTGCAGCGGGCGTTGAGAAATGTTGAGCAATAAAAATTGCATTTTTATGCTGATGTTTGAATTTTGCATGCAAATGAAAAACGAACAGCGACGCGACGCGACGCGTCGGCAACAAAATGGCTTGGAAACAAAAGGGCAGCGTTTCCCAGCCATTGTGGGGGATCACGCTAGCCGCCTGCTCGCTCTCCCACCCGATGTCTATCTAATGCTCGCTAGCTCTAGCTCTCTCCCGCTCTCTCGCTCGGTCGGGCTGCCCTCCCTTTCTGTTTTGCAGTCACAGGAAGTGCCAGCGCTGTTGTTGCTATTGCTTATGTCAGTGGCAGCGGCTGCTTGCAGCTTAGCTGCGACTTTGCGCCCACGCTGCACGTGTTTATGACTTTGAATTGCAACTTCATCCGTCGCGCTGTGCCGCTGCCTTTGCCGTTGCCTCTGCCGTTGCCGTTGCCTCTGCCGCTGCCGTTTGCTGTCGAGTGCAATGATGGCGGCGCATAGCGCGCATTGTGACGCGAAATGGCGTCGAGTTGAATAATCCAACATGGCGTTTTGCCACCGTAACGGCCGCCACACTTTATTTGCGAGTGTGTTGGAGTATGTGTGTGTTGGTGTGTGTGGGTGCATTGTGTTGTCTGCTTCCGGCAGCCGGATAAAAAACTTGGCGTTAAAGTGTTAATATTTTGAGTTTTGAGAGCATTGTCGTCCTTATGCACCGACAGTACATGCAAATACAATTCTCTGGCAACTGGCAACAGCATGAGTAGGCCCAGCGGACAAAAGGGCCAAAAGGGCCACTACACACACACACTCACACACAAATATATATACCATATACCCTCGACGCCGACACTTGTTCAATTCAAATAGCATGCCATTGCGACGACATTGATGTGCCGGCACGGAATCCAACCAACTGCAACTTGAACTGCAGCAGCAACAGCAACGGCAACAGCAACAGCAACGGCAACTGCAACGGCAGCTGCGACTCAAACTGGCAGCATGGCGTGGCGTGCCGCATTGCTTTGCACCATGTCAGCCCGGGCACATTTATGTTATCTTTAATTTTCGTTACAAAATTGGCCGTAAGAGTGCACTTCCAATTGCCAATCTACAAGTATATTTATATTTATTTATTTTTATTGCAACATCGCCCAATGTGAGCTGTCATTATGTGACTACGGCAAAGCCATTGACTGCCAGCACTTGTTAGCTCTACGATAACATATGGCAAATGGCCTGATTATATAGATTAAATATTTATTTGCCAAATGTACTTTATATTGAATTCGATTATCGAACAATATGATGTTTAGGTTAAATTACATGGGAAATAATGCATTATTATATTATGTTATTATATACGTTATATGACAGATTGCTATATGAGGTGTATAATAATTGACAGATAGGTAGACAAATAAAACTTTCATAAATTTCATTGCTATATTATTTAATTTTTTTTAAAGTATTTTTATTGAATAATTTTATTTATATTTATTTGATCATTTATTTACTTATTTTTTCATTTTAAGTTTTATTTTTTTATTTTTATTTTTTTATATTATTTATTTTATATATTTACTTATTTATTATTATTATACCCTGAACCCATTGAAAATGGGAAATCAGGGTATAATGTTT